TCAGATGCTAATAAATTACCATTAGGAGAGAAGCATTCTGAAGAGCTAGTTCCACTATCACTATCTAATTTGGAATTTTATTAATCCTGTCTTAACAACCCATAATCCAATTGACGAATCACATTCCATTTGGTGCATCACTAGTAAGACCATCCAATTTGTTTAACTCATGTATTTTAATATTCTTCTACTTACAATTAAATAGTAGAGCTCCATTCAGATTAACTCCACTTATGTCTACATTCTCCAATTCTGATCCACTAAAGTTACATCTTACAAAATTTGCACCTATGAAAGATGTGTACTTTATTCTGATGTCTTCGAGGCTTTGGTCTGGTCGGTGAGGTCTGCTTTCATCTGCACTATTAAGTAAAGTCCATTTGACCCACATCGAATAAATTTTTTGTCAATACTTGTGAGTTGAACTAAAAATTTTAGAAATCAATGATCTTCTTAATAAGATATCTCTGTACTATAGATATTTTTAATAAATGAATGATCTTAAATATCGGTCAATATATTGATGATCTTCATAATTTTCTTTTTAGCATCACTAATTGTCTAATACTAATAGACAAATTATTGATATTGCTTAAGATTGACTGTTAGTATGTATAATTTTTTCTCTATTCTCTGAACATCTAGAATCCATCTAAATATTGTTTAATCGATATCCTAAACTTAATCTGAAATTTCATATAGTTCTTCCTTCCTTTAGTAAACTTCAATTCCATACAAGATAATTATTATATTAACGAACCAATAATCTGATTATGGGAATAAAAAATAAAAATTTCAGAGAGAAAGGGAAGGATTATAGCATAAGATAGAAATGAGGCTTATTTTTGAATTTAAAGATTCTTTTCAAATTTCTGCTTACATCCTACAGAGTGTTGGCATTTTGATATTAGACCTATTCTAAACCAAATGTAAAATGTATGGTCAAATTGGTTTACACTGATTCTAATAAGAAAAAGCAATAAATTGCTACCTCTTTCTGTAAGTATCTAATTTGTGGGTATAAGAAAAAAGTTTTGGGAACAGAGAACTTTTTTTATTTACTTA